GAGTGTGATCTTCAATGTTCTTGTCATTTGTTTGAATTTAGGGGAATACTTTGTAGGCATATAACAAAGATCTAAATTGAAAACCATGTGAAAGAAATCCCCTCTCTGTACATTTTAACTCGGTGGAGAAAAGATGTAAAGCATAGTCATTATTATGTGCTAAATTGTTATGCTAAGTGACCAAGGTGTGGAATTTGATAAGTTGTGTGCCAACTTTTATGAAGCTGCACTAATTCAAGAAGAAAGTATATATTTGTTCTCTAACTTTTTCTTTTCCTTCTAATTCTAATAATCAATATTTAATATATATATTATCTTGTTTTAGATTAGTAATTTATATTTTTAAATTTTTAATTTCTTCTTGTAAATCTTTAATAGTAATAGGGGTTGGTTGGCGAAATCTTGAATATATTTCCTTTATGTCTACTTCTTTAACTTCTTCTTGTTTTTTTTCATCTTCTCTTAATAGTTCTTCTAATTTATTAATGAATTCAGTTCTTATTGGTCCATGTTCTAATTTTGAAATTAAATCTAGCAGAGAATGAGTTTGATCTACAGTGAACATATTAATAGTTTTACAGTCATTACAGGATTTCTTCTTTTTTCTCTTTATTATTTTTTTTTCATTTTAGATTCCTTTCTCGTGGATGGTGGACGACCTTTGCTACGCACTTGTAAAGGAGATAATAATTTTTCACTTGATTCTATTACATGATCAATACTTGGTAGAATAATTTTTTTACTACTATCCCAACCCTTATCATCTTTAAGCTTTTCCTTTGTTTTATCTATCCATTCCATAAAATAAAAAAAATCATATATACTTTCTTCTTGAATTAGTGCAGCTTCATAAAAGTTGGCACACAACTTATCAAATTCCACACCTTGGTCACTTAGCATAACAATTTAGCACATAATAATGACTATGCTTTACATCTTTTCTCCACCGAGTTAAAATGTACAGAGAGGGGATTTCTTTCACATGGTTTTCAATTTAGATCTTTGTTATATGCCTACAAAGTATTCCCCTAAATTCAAACAAATGACAAGAACATTGAAGATCACACTCCACATCATTATATTGCACTATGTATGCAAATCTTTTTTTTTTTCGTGATATTCGTCCTTCCCTTCTTTAATATCAAGGATACTAAAAATATATTGGACCATCAACTCTTAACAATGTGAAATTGCAAAAAAGCATACCACGCAATTCATCTCGAAACAACTTAAAAATTGCATTGCTATAGGCCTCTTGAATTTTTTTTTTCAAAGTAACAATGTGAAATTGTAAAAAAGCATACCGCGTAATTCATCTTAAAACAACTTAAAAATTGCATTGATATAGGCCTCTTGAAGTTGTTTTTCAAAGTAGTAACTTAATATAAATTGAAAATATGAGTTAACAAGTTGAGTTAACATATCTATCAAAGAATGCATTCATACTTTCATTTCTTTGAGTTGTAGACATTCTTGCCCAAAATATTGATTTAACATGTATTGACATTGAACGACCATGGTCAAAAAATAAGGAGCTTAACCATTCATTTTCTTGAAGACCAAAATCCTCAATCATTCTTTGCCAACTTTTGATAAAGCCATTTAGCTACACAGAATCATACATAATGGCTTTTAAGTTTTTTTTTTCTTTGTATTGAGTCAACTCACCTAATTTCTCAGTTACCTTCTTCATAATATGCCAAAGGAAAAAACGATGATGAGATTGAGGAAATACTTTGGTCACTGCTACTTGAATAGATTGACATTGATTTGTAATTATTGTTTTTGGAGTTCATCCATGCATGCATTCCAACCATGATTTAAACAACCATACATATGTATATATGTCTTCCCTCGATAGTAAACCACACCCAAACAAGATTGATTGTCCATGGTGGTTCACTCCAACAAAAGGGGAAAAAGGCATAGTGTATCTATTAGTCAAATATGTGCTATCAAATGATACAACACCCCCAATTGAGTCATAAGTTGTTATAGATCTTACATCCGTCCAAAAAAACATTTCGCAAGCGACCTTCATCGTCCATATCAATGATATAGAAAAAATTTGAATTTCTTCTTTGCATACGAATGAAGTAGTTATGAAGTGTTTCGGTATCTCTAACTCCAAGCCTTAATTGTCTCACCTTTGCAATATAAATCCTACAATCTTTTCACCAAATTGTAGGTTCTCATACCTTTTAGCTTGAACTACCAATTAATGAAAATTTTTGTTTGGTGGAATTCCTGCAAAATCATTTAACTCAAGTCTTCTTTTTGAATAACTATCCATCTTCTTATGAGACCTTTGAAATTGTGACTTTTTTGGACTTAAAGCATGATTATGCTCTAGATTAATTGAAGAAATGGTACATTTTCCACTTGCAATGATCACATAAATTTTTGTTTGACAACCAATTTTGTTTGACAAACTTTGCTTAGAAGAACTTGTCTTACATACATATTTACCTCCCTTGGAACATGCAAGTGAGTAATACGTAACTTCACCCTTTGTTTTTGTGCTAATTTTTCGAATCCCAAATCCAACTTCATAAGCATATTTCTTATAAAAAGCATAAAGTTCCTCTTCAGAATTTAATATCATTCCAACTTTTAGAATTTCTTCTCTAATGCTAGTTGAACATCTTTCAAATTCTTCACTTTCTTCCACAATTACAGGATTCACCATCTCCATACCTTGACCATGAAAAACATAACAAGATAGCAAACAATAATATATAAAGAAAGTAAACAATAATATCTTAGAAAAATAAAACGAAAAACTTAACAACCAAAAAAAAAAAAGTAAACATCAAAGAACTTACTTGACATCAATAAAGATCCAATAAAATGATAAGTAAATAATAATATCTAACAAAAAAAAATTAAAAAAGAAAGAGTAAAAAGTAGAAAACTTACTTGATGCCATTAAAGACTCGGTAAAATGGCATGAATCTTTAGCTTCCAATTTTTTTTTGTACTTTTGAATCTTTTGTCAAAGTCTTCCTCTGCAAGTTTCTCGCATGAAGTAGTGGACGGACACTACAATAAAATAGACTTTTAGTGGCATTTAATATGACTTTTAGTGGTAATAAAAATCGCTACAAAATCTTTTACCGGCATTTCACACACTAGTCATTGTATGCAGTGTCGCTAAAACATTTAGCGACAATTATTCTATATGCTAGTAAAAACCCTCATAATGGTCAGGAAAAATGTATAACTTTTTGTGTCATTTGTTACTGGCATTTAAAATTGTCGCTAAAAGTTTAAGAAAAGATTTATAATATTCTTTAATTATCTTATTTCTAGTCGATGTAGGACTTGTAAGATGAGTATAAATACTCTTTAATTACCTTATTTCTAATTGATGTGAGATTTAGAAGATGAAGGTTATCTTCTCTCCACATCATTATATTGCACTATGTATGCAAATCTTTTTTTTTTTCGTGATATTCGTCCTTCCCTTCTTTAATATCAAGGATACTAAAAATATATTGGACCATCAACTCTTAACAATGTGAAATTGCAAAAAAATTTTGTTGTAAAATATTAATAATTTTGTTAGTCTTAGTACATGGATAACAAAGTTCTGAAATATGAATTTCATCTTGATTTGTTGAAAAAATGCTATGTTGCTTATAAACTTCACATTTTTTATATTAGGTATTGACCAGTTATGAAGGGAGTTTTCTATTTCTGCTATTTGAATTTCTGTTTGGGAATTTTCTTGAGAGGTACTGGGAGTATCTTCTAAAGTATTAGGAGTTCTCATAACTATTTGTTTCTTCTTGTTTTTGGTTCCTATACTGCTAATTGTTTCAAAAATTCTTGATAATTTTGAAGGTTCTTTGATAGTGGTAAAGGCGTGGCCTCTATCCATGGCTTACCAATGGGTTTACTACCTCACTAGCCTTTACTACCGGGAACACCAACAAGAGTGTATAACCTTAGCCTCTACTTCCCCCCAAAGAAGATTCAAAATATCAATAACTTTTGAAATAAATAACAGAATTTGAACACAAATTCAAAAATAATACAAACAGTTATAATCAATAATAATCGGTATCATACCATAATACCTTAGCCTCTTCATATTATTGAATTTGTGTTCAAATTCTATATAACTGTTTGTCCCCATTCTTCAAGTGTCATAATTTTGAGTATCTAGTCTTTTTCTTGATGAGTTGTTGATAAGCTGTCTTGTGCCGTTTTGTGATGCTGGCGAATAACTTTATCTTGATGAGTTGTTAATGAGCTGTCTTATGTCGTTTTGTGATGCTAGCGAATAACTTTATCTTGATGTCTTTAAAGGTGTCTCTTTCTGTACTGAAATAATTAAATCTTGAGATTTTAGTCAAACATATCTTCATTGCAAAGATAACATATATATATATATATATATATATATATATATATTTAAAAAGGACAATATAATCTTTTATATGTATAATTTTTTTTCTAATTTGGAAAAGTTAAATCCTCACCCATATCAAAATGTTTTTATTTGAAAGTGGAATAAAAATAATTTTTAAAAAACTATATTCGTGAGACTTTCTTAAAAACCAATTTAAGATTTACATAAAAGTATACAAAATTTACTTTTAAAATATACTTCCAATATAAATAAATATCAAAAACATTTTGTGAATCATTCGCCACTTAAGAGATTTGCTTCTAAAATATAATTTTAGTATGAATAGGAATTACTAACTAAAAAAAAAATAAGGCAATATACTTTTAAATACTACAACTTTACACACGCAGTTAAATTATCTTTGGTATGTTTCCCGGGCACAATAACAAAATCATTCAAACAGGCAAGTCACAAACCGGATCAGATTACCGTATTCAAACTGCCTAAGTTCAATAGAATCTAATTTTTTTCGTATCCAATCCCTTATTTGTCAAGTGCTTTGTGGATCATGGATCGCTTTAAACGATCCTTTTGGATTCATCTGACCCGCCGAATATTGCAAAACTTATTACGGCACAACATAAAAAAAATAATAACAGATTCTTGGATTTAAAAATAGGCAACAATAATTGTTCCCATACAATTTCATGTGTAACTGAATGGCATTACAGATTCAAGTTAGGAGGTGGCTTGATGATTATGGAACTTACAGGGAGTCAATTAGCTCCATGTCAAATCTTTCCACGAGTTTCTAGCATTCAGACACTATACATGAAAGAATACAAAATAAATCAATCATCATGTTTCATTTTTTTTGGGGGGGGGGGGAAAATCATCATGTTTCTTTAATTCTTGTTTTTTTTTTTTCTCCCCGAACTTCAGCAAGAAAAATACATTTCAGATGGCACTAACGAACGCATAATGGTATTATTAGGTCATTGACAAATTCGTATCAATGAATAAGATATTCATCCCAAACAGTATGCAAACACAGCCCAAGCTGGCTCTTCTTAGAGAATCTTTGAATGGTAACTCACTTCCGGGCAGAAGCGATCCATGTAGAGCAAATGAAGTATCTGGAACATTTTGTTTCCCTCAGAAAATAGCGGGAATCATGTCAAGAAATTGCAACAGGATTGTTCCCAGGTGGGAGTTTACGAAGGGCATCAGTGTCAGATACTTTGGATGGAGGCCAGTAACGAAACATGGACCTACCAACAATGTTCTCCACTGGGAGGGGACCCCTGATATACACAAAAAACAGCAAACATGTTCAGCCAGACATCATTAATGATTAATCCAATGTTCAGATACAAAAATATGTTTTTAACTTCTGAGATCTGGTAGCAAATTTACATAAGCTAGATGTTTTTGAGAAGATCAGCATCAACAAATGGGTCGAAATCAATGGTCGACCTAGGCTAAAATATCCTCCAACATAAACAGAAAAAGTCAGCACAAAAGGGAGTGAGAAATTACCAGATATGAGAATCAAAGCTGTGGTTCCGATTGTCTCCCATAACAAACACATATCCTTCTGGCACAACCTGCAACCAAAACACAAAACTACCATTAACCACGTTGTCAACTCCCACAATCAATCAATAAAACAGTATCACCCATTCAAATTGCAAACATTACCATTGGATCCATCTCATACGCAAGAGGCTCCAACACAAATTCCTGTTCTTCAGCAACACCATTTACCAGCAGTTTCCCATCAGAAACCTACAACAAAACCCAAAACACGTATAAGACCATATCTTAGAAATCAAGGCACAACACCTTCAAGGCAACAAATTATTCCCTCAAAACATAAAAAACAAACCTCAACAGTGTCGCCAGCCTTAGCCACAATCCTCTTTATAAATACATCAGACGAACTAAAGCCAAACTCCTACATAACATAAACAATCAATGATCATCACAATTCACAATTCACAAGTCGTCACCACCTTAAAACATTCAACAAAAAAACAAGGGTCTTGGATGGATGATACCTCCAAACAAGGAGGCGCTTTGAAAATCACAATATCCGAAACATCAGGCTTTCTGAACAAGAACGAAACCTGCGACACATTAACAACCTGAATCAATTCAAAGAAGCAAAATAATAACAATAATAATTATAATAATAAAGAATACTTTAGTGAAAGAAAAAAGAAACCTTTTCGGTTAAAACACGGTCACCCACTTCAAGAGTAGGGTACATAGAAGAGGAGGGAATGGACCTAGGTTCAGCCAAGGAGGACTTAAAGAGCAAACTAACGGTAACGGCAGTGAACGCAGCTTTTGCGTCTTCGGAACAGACGTTGAGCAAGCGCGAAAGCCAACTACTTTTCCCAAAGCTGGAATCGGCGTTGGAAACCACGTGTGGCGTGCCACCTTTATCCACCTCCCACGTGGTGGGATCAGGAACGGACTCGTTGCAAGGAAGCCACTTGGAACCGGCCAAGAAGGGAATGATCGAGGTCGTTTTAAAGGGCGAAATACCCAAAACGCCCGTAGCCGCCGCGGATGACCCAGAAACACCCGCCGTTGACTTCACCAGCGAAATCAGGCCCACGATAATTGGGCTCTTGCACCCGTCGCCGACCAAGTCCCCGGCAAGGGTCGAATAAGTGGACCCGGCCCAGCAGGCGTTGGGCCTGGGCCTGGGCCTGGCGAAATTGCGGACTCCGCCGGCGGAAGAATCGAGATCCGGCTTCTGGGCGGCGCCGAAGAGGCGCGAGCGGATCCAGCATTCTTGGACGCATCGCGAGTTGGCGACGCGCACGCCGGCGGAGGAGACGAGATTCTGGGCGACGTAGCCCGAGAAGGAGAAGGTGACGCGGATAGCCATGACTATGAAGTTGATTAAGCGGAGGAAGAAAAGGTACAGGGTGCCTTTGGGGCGTCGGATTCGGGAGTGGCGAAACCCTAGCAAGCCACGCGCTGCATTTTGAGAGAGGGAATCGGTGGAGCGACGTGGAGAAGGTTGAATCGAAGGGTGGAGAGGACGGCGACGGAGGGAGTCGCCGGCGAAGCGATCCCCTGAAGAGCGGAAGAGAGAGAATGAGAAAGTGTGTACTGTGAAGGAAGGAACCCAAAACCCAAATGGAAACCAAGAAAGTGATTGGGTTTTAGTAAAATATGGCGGCTCCAACTATTCGCTGCATATTACATTATCGGACTTGCTTTTTTCTTTATTTACCACATTACCTTTAGTTCACCTATCTCATTTTTCATTCTCACTTTCATTTACAAATTAATTCCTTAATCACTATCTAAATAACACTATTGCATAAAAGTTATTTCATTTTTTTTATTAAAATATAAACTAATTTTAATTTATAAAATATATTTCAATTTTTCTCTCTTCAAATTCATTGATAATTCTAAATATATTTATCAGACAAATTTTATTAGTAATGTCAAGTTTAACTTTTAACCACACAAAAATATTAAAATTTGATGATCATGAAACTTTTGTATAAATAAATTTAGATAATTATTTTAAAAGTCAACAACATTAATATATATATTATTTATGATTAGAGAATAATCATTAAAAAATAACTTATCTTTTTTAATAAATATTAAATACTTACAAAAAAAATTATAATTCATGTAATTCTACCTGATTTAAACAAAATTATTTTATTCAAATAAAAAACTGTATGAATAAAAACATAGAAATTTACATAAACTACATATATATATATATAGTTCGTCTTCATATTTACAAAAGATTATCCTTTTTCAACTCGTTCAAGGGATATAGGGTTTTATATATATATATATATATAGTTCGTCTTCATATTTACAAAAGATTATCCTTTTTCAACTCGTTCAAGGGATATAGGGTTTTATATAATGGGATGAGACTTTAGAAATTGGATTAGGTTCTTTGCATTTGAATATTCAACGGCGTGAATATTGTATACCAATTCTTAAAAAAAATATTATACATTAAATTATAAAATGGAATGAGTTAAAAAATATATATATATATATACTAATTGGCTTGAAAGTGCATGACAGGCGATCCTACTCCTTAGAAACCAGTGTTGTTAAACCTATTTCAATGAATAATGTTTAACTTTCGGGTATTGTAACATTCGATTTTCACATGTTTTAATTATATATAATTAAAAAATATAATAAATTATATAAAAATTAATATTAAATATAAATATTTTATTTATAATTTGTATAAACGAATATTTTAAATATATAATTTATATTTTAAATCTAGGATAAATAATATATAATATGATAAAATATTATTATATATATATATATATTATGCTAAATGTATTTAAATTTTTTTTTAATTTCTTATCTAATTATATTTTTTTATTTATTATAATTATTTATAAATTAAATTATAATATTTTTAAAATAAATTATCAATTAATAAAAATATTTTGCTACAATATAAATTATATATCATAAATCTACAATATAAATTATATGTTTAAAAATATCTATTTATAGAATTTTTAAATATAATTTATATGTTCAAACATAATATTTATTTGTATATTTTAATTACATATAATAAATATTTAGTTTGTACATACTGAAAGTTATATTTTATATTCAAAGTTAGAATTCAAATCTCTGACATCTTGGTTAAAGAACACAAATCACTATTATTGTCAACCAATATTGATAAAAAAAAATTTATTGAATAAATTGTATTTATAAATTTGACATAATTTAAAATTTATAAATTATTTCCCAATTTATTTTATTTAGGCATATAATGTATTTTTTAAAATATGAATCAATGGTAGCACTAATATAACAACACAATATAAAAAAAATGACATATTTCAACAATTTGATTAGTTAAAATTGCACACAAGTATGGTACATTTAAAAATATATTTTTAAATAAAGATATCATTTTCTATATAAAAAAAAGGAAATATTTTTTAATATTATTGCTTAAATTTAATTTGATTTAAATTTTTTAAATTTTTAATTGGATTTTTATTTTTTATAAATTATTTTGAACTTGATATATAATATTCAATTAAATATGTTAAATTGTACTTTTGACTCCTTTGTCATATTAAATTTATAATTTTGGTCCCTCAATTTTTAAATCCATAATTTTAATCCCTAAATTTCAAAGAATTTATAACTTTGATCCCTCATTAAATGTTTATCTATTGATCCATTGTAACTTAACATTATATAGATAACACAATAATTAATATTTAATAATATTTAAGTTAAATTATATTTCTAGTTCTCACATTTTATTTTTGTATCATTTATCACTTTTATGAGATAAAAATGAGAATTAAAAATAAAATTTAGCCCAAATATGATAAAAATATTAATTGTTAAGTTATCTACTTAATGTCAAATCATGATTAAAAATACATTTTTAACAATTAATGAGTAAATATTCAATGAGGAAACTAAAATTAAAAGACTAAAATTACAGATTTAAAAATAGAGAGATCAAAACCGTAAATTTGATATTATAAATGAACTATATAAGTGTAATTTAACTAATTAAATATATTTCTAAAATATATTTTACTTTAATATAATTAATATTTTAGTTTGTTTATGGCACAAGATCAATGTTTTTATAATAAATAAATATCTTTAAATATAAAAAATCATATTTTAGATTTACAATGAACAATTTCATATGTGATGTAAAATTAATTTTAAACATGAATAAATTCTTAAAAGAACTATTAAAAACTATTTCATAATTTTTTTTATATTTTCAAAATATTAAATAAAAAATTCTTAAAATCTTAAAATTATAAAAAAAATTAATAACTTTTTTCATTTACCAAACAAGATAATTAATTAAAATAAATAAATAAAACTAAAATTAAAGAAATATTAATTATCACTTTATTGTTTTTGAAATTTATGTAGATGTTATAAAATAAGAATTTAATTAAAATATATTAAAATATTTGTTTTACTTCTTTATTCAATCATAATCGTTATATACAGTCATTTTATACATTTATAATAATTATTTTTTTAATTATATTTAGAGTATTTTTAATTACTCAATATTTTAAATTTTTATAATAACAGTGGAAAAAAAACTCAACAAAGTCATATTTGATACACATAAAGCCACCTCATTTCTAAATCTTGTACAAATTTCGCTCGACAATAAAAAATAAAAAAAAACTTTCCAAATTCTCTTTTAACATTCTCTTATTAATTTTCATATTCACTAAACAGTCCAACTAACGAGTGCTTTAAGAATAATGGTTAAAAAACTAAAAAATGTAAAGAAAAAAAATGAAATATCATGGTGAAAATATATTAGTAATTTTTTCTATAATTTTTCATTTTTGATTTTTTAATCAATAGCTTAAAGATACATGTTAAAATTATTTTTATGAAATAAAATATTATTAAATTTTAATTATATTTTTAAGTTATTGAATGTGTTTTTTTTTTTCATGGTTAAAAAAATTAAAAAGATTTATCAAAAAATAATGTAGATAGTAACCTTGCACGTTCCTTAGGGAACACCTGCATCTTGCATATCGTAAGCGCTTGTGTCATCTAATTATTATTTAGGATCAAAATTTGAGCAGGTACAAGTCAAAAGGGGAACATAAATTAAAATAATCTCATGTACCGGAAAATTAAAATATTTCTAATTACGAAGCTGACTGGCACGTTCTGCAACTGTATAGGCTATTGACTAAAAGTTAGTCGTGTGGTGGATTTTTATGTTGAGTCACCTACTTTATGATTACTGCCGTATAAAAGGTATTTTATGTTTTTTTAAATTATTATTAAAAATAATAAATAATTAAAATTATATAATAATAAGTATTATTAAAAGAAATATATAAATATTGAGTGAAATTTATATAATAAATAAATAATTCATAATTTATAAAAGGTAATTATAAAAGTAAAATTGTTCAAAAATATAGATATTAAATGAAATAATTTATTTATTTATTAATAGTATAGATATTAAAAAAGAAAGTGAAAAAGGAAAGAAGTAGAAAAGTTGGATAATTTTTTTAAGTGAGAGCAACTCCTAATTTTAGTGCATATTCACAAAAGTGATTATAAAATACATTTAAAATCTAAATGATTTTATAAAATAGATTATATTGTAGCTAAAATTAATGTTTAAGTGAAGCGATATATGTTCAGATATTTTTATTTTAAAGCTATTCTGTGATAAAATATATCATAAGTTTTTTAATCCAATGAAATTTTTTTATGATCTGTAATTAAATATAAGTTTTGAGGCAAAAATAATTATACTTAACAATAACCAAACATTTAGGATCTATTTCATGACCCGTATAAGATAGGATGTAATTTGAGGATAAGTGTGAGATATGACAAGAGTAGAATAAACTTTAATATTATCTAATATTTAATGAATATTATGATAAAAAATCAAGTAACTGTAACAATCCGGCTGGTCACTACACACGGCATAGCACACTAGAAACACCAGACAGATAGAACAAGTATATAAATATAGGATTTAGAATATATAAATATACAAAGTTCCAGTCTGACTAGAGTTAAAGTGTACCAAAAAAGTTTACAACCAAATGCTACTATCCCAAGTAGCCACAAGCAAAACAACCACACAAGCAAAACAGTTGCAAGGTCCGCCGGAGACTCACCACAAGACGCCCACCTATTCCTGCCCTGCTCCCACACATAGTATGATCATCGCAGTCCAAAAGCATGGAAAACAGCAAAAGGGTAAGCTAGTGAAATTAAAATTCAACATACAATTATATGAATATCACTATGAATAACCACAGATACAGTTATCACACACTTGTACAGCTTACACCACTCAACGTTTTCAGCACCGCAATACGGCAATATCAGCACTGCTAAGCAGCAACAACAGCACCACTCAAGTGGCTATAACGGCACCGCGCAGCGGCAACAACAGCACCGCTTTAGCGGTTAGAATCAGCACCACAAGTGTGGCTAACCCCAGCACCGACTTAGCGGCTATAATATCACCCAACTCAACACAGCTCAGCACAACACAGCACACAACACAACACAGGATAACACAGCACGACAATTCAACAAAATTATTATTTTCTACAATTCAGCCCAACAGTCTAT